CTTGTGCGTTAACAGGTTATTGACCAGCATGTGGGAACAACTTGCTGAACTTTCCTCACGCGTAGTGGACTCCAATTTAGTCATTGCTCGGCCATGCGGCTCTACGGTGTTAGCGTCATACGACGTTAATTCTCAAGAGGCGGCTCATTTGATGTGATCCGGGCACACATTTGAAATTGATGAGGCCGAAATTCTTGCAAGAAGAGGCAATTGCATAAGCCGAGAATTACTTGAGTCATGGTTAACGGGCCCCCAATCCATCAACAAGTGCAACGATTTGCCCAGACCATATTTGGTACAATAACTCGATTTGGCTAAAGCTAGACGCCACTTGGGGAAGGCACACACCACCGCGTTGTCTTACGCCCACACTGGAGAAAGAGATGGCCGAGCAATCATCATTCCCGAGCCACTGCGCGCGATGAAAGTTCAGTAAGTCAGCCGGTGAACAAAATATCAACGCGCAAGAAGGCAATTACCGTTAATTGTCGTTGATTGTTTGCAGTAATGACTGCATCTTATAAATTCTGCAAATTTCTGTGCATATGGCCCCCGTATCTGCTACTGCTGTTTGCTTAATTCTCTGATGGTGAACCCGCGAATGATCTCGAAACGTCAGGCAAATGAAAGTTTTGTACCAACCATCGATTCGTCTCCTTCTCAACTATTTAATCGGGCTCCCATGTTCGCGTGCATTTGCAATTCTGTGCCTATCGAACTAGAAGCGCAAATGCTTAACTAAATATCAGCTAGGCCATAGATTAATTGAAACAGCTTTATTCTCCGTGACTTTGAATCTCGATCAATCAGGGTAACAAAGGAATTTTGCTTATATGAGCGGAGAGCACTATTTAGAAAATTTAAATAACGTTCGTTTCCCCACATTTCGATTCAGAAACAAAACCTGACTATGGCTAATTCACTGATTTAGATAACACCGTATTATTAGTATTGCCATGAGTGCTCTTATGTATTTAAATATAGCTACATTAGACGTTTAACGTTTTCAAAAGCGTGTCTGATAAGCGGCTGATAAATTTTTCCAAAAGTGGAGAACAGTTTTAACTTTTAAAAATAAGTTGATGACTTACAGGGAAGCATTTTGTTGAAGTTGCCTGAAACCGAAACTCGCGGTAAGCTAGCCATTTCACGGATGTTTCGCTTGACAACCAGTATGATTTGCATGTAGCAGGACATAATTATGCCGACTGGAGTCAGTAATTCAAAAACGAGCATTTCTGCCACATGTATATAATTGTTCACATTCTGCTCAAGGTAGTCAAAACAGCAAGATGTCTGTAGTCCATCCGGTATATAGTGGCCTGCAAATATTGAATAACCGATTGCGAGAGAGAGTGAGAGACCGTAGTT